GGCAATGGGATTGGCCGGACGGACGCAGGTATAGCTGAACGTCGTCGTCAAAAATCATTCTGCATCCGTGGAATTGTATTTTCTCGAAACCGATTACGTTCGGAACTTTGTGTGGAAGCGTGGCAGAAATTATCTTCGAAAAGCCAAAGGATATGCTCCTATTCACGAGAAGATCAAAAATGCCGCTTCGAAAGAAAGCTGAACCTGCTGAGATCGCGTCGACAGTCATCCCAGCAACCACATTTGATCACAGCAAATGCTGTTCCACCAGCACATCATGCGGTTATTGGGACAAATGAAGTTGATAATGATATGGCTGCAGTGCTCAATCTAGGACCATCATTTGCGATAACACGGAGGGTCAACAACGAAGTAGTTGACGCTGCGCTTTGTGGAGTGCATCAATTCGCCTATCAGTTACGCTGGAGAACACATAGTGGACCGACCGTACTTGATCAGCAAGCGACTTTAATATCACTGATGCCATTTAAAGGAAAGTGTATGAGAATACCACCATCTTCACGTGAAATCGACTCTAAAATTGCGAACCTCGAGCACGGGACTCAATGAGTTTATCGGAACGCGATGAGTGAGCCTTATCGCAGTAATCTGACCCCAACTGAACGCAGAGGGGTGAAGAAACTACTGCAAGGGAAGGAGGTATTGAGGTACACCGTTGGAGACAAGTGCGGCTCCTTCGTAGTGATGCCACAAACGACGGATAAGGCTCTCACCAACAAAGTGTTCTCAGACGACACCGTGTACGAAGAAAGCACCTTATCCGCTTTTGAATCAGTGTGCAAGAGAATGAAGAACGTGATGTCGATTGTGAAGAAACGAACAAGTCCTGAAATGGCAAAACGGCTCTACGGTACGGTACGGTCCTAGCAGTGCCGACGCTCTACAACTTGGTGAAGACGCACAAAGTTCCGGCGAACACAAACACAATGACCCTCCAATGGACTGAGATCAAGACGAGACCGATTATCGCGTCTTGTGGTGGACCAGCAGATGGATTAAGCTGGCTCTTAGTTAGGTCGTTTGCTCTCGCCACTTCTGCGTTACGTGGGAGCGTACATTGTGAATGTGAAAGAATTCATTTTAGCGCTTCACCAATGTCCAGTACCTTCTATGAGAGTTTTGATGTAGTATCCTTATACACGAACGTGAATAACGGAGGAGCAGTGCAAGCTGTCTTATCTCTCATCGAGGATAACAAAGACCATATCACGATGATGGGATTCCCCTCAGCGGACTTAAGGATCTCATCGAAACAGCACTGGAATGCAACATCTTTTGCTTCGACAATAAGTTCTACAAGCAAAAAAGAGGCCTTGCCATGTGTAACCGCATAGCACCTGTGTTAGCAGTCATTTTCTTGGACCACATCGAAAAGTCATCATTAACTAGTGGAATTCTGTTCTACAAACGTTATATTGATGACGTATTCATTATCGGAACAACGGAAGAAGACCTTGTGGAAAGATTGGAGAGACTGAACTCACACGATGCTAACATAACCTTCACCAGGGAAGATCCGGGTAGAGATGGATTCCTTCCATTCCTCAATGCGAAGACATGAATAAGTGAAGGTCATAAGGAACACCTATGGTATAGGAAAAGTGCCTCGTCGAACATCTTGTTGCATTCTAGAAGTGCACATCCTGCTTATCTGAAGGCAAACGTCGTGCGGAATCTTTTGAAAACGAAAGAGAAGCTTGGGACGCGAAAGGATTCAGTTGTCGATGCCAAAATTGAAAGTATCCTTGAAAGCAACGGATACTTCGAAGGCAATACAAGGACCTGGGTCCCGCACAGGACGGCTGATGGTGTTAGCCTCATTGTGCCTTTTGTCAACGACAAAGTGGCACGTGAGGTGAACCGCGTAG